CACTTTGTCATAAAATACATCATTAGAAGTACCAGTAACAAATATCAAAACAAAACTAGTTGTCCATGACTTTGTATAGGGATATAACAGTGCTGATTACGTAGATCCTGGGCATCTCTGAGCAAGGTATCTTTGAAATGAATGGAAAATGCTCTTCTCATAGCAGCATGATAGATGGTTTCTAAACTGGATGGAAGGAGATAATACCATTCAGTTATACAATGTTTACTCACAGTTCTTAAAAACAAGAGTTTTTGTTTTGTTTTTTTAATTGTGGTACTGTTAATGAGCACTCCACTGGCTCCATGGCACTGGCAGTTAAGTGACTGACCGTTCAATAACAGACTCATAAGTACTAAGGAATATGGTGGCTAGGATGAGTTCCACCTCTGACCCAGGGTGTAGTGAGAATAAGTTTCTTAGCCTGAGCAGCACATGACTTCTAAAAGGCAAGCAATACTAGGGACTGGCATGGTCTGTCTGGGCATCTGGTACTCATCTGTGGATGGCACCTCTCAGCAGATGGTCAAGCAGCTTCTAATCTGTAAAATTGTATGCCAGGACCATGCTGAGGACCTGGATCCGGGGTTGGAGGAAATTATTTTCCCATTAGACTGCAGTTCTGTTCTGTTAAAAGGGCATTAGTCAATTGACTGCAACCAAGTAGACTGTAGTGTGGGGAAAAGACAAGGTTGGGGGGGCGGCGGAGCTTGGGGACTGATGGGTGGAGAATGAATGTGCAGGAAAACGGGTGAGGGAGGTAAGGATTAGTGGAAGTCTCTTCATTGGAATGTCATCGAACCACTTTGTGTTATTAAACTCTAGGCTTCTTGGTGTAGCCCTGGACTCTAGGGGGTCTGCTTGCCTTGGGGTTGAGAATGACTACAAGACAGGTCAGGACCCATTTCCCAATTAACGTTTAGCATGGAGTTGATTAAGGTTAGAATATCACCACATGGGTCAGGAGAGAGGGTGTTCCAAGAGCAGTGCGAGGCCGTGCCCCAGATGGCATTCATTCTCTGTACAACCTTGACCTTGACTCTGAGGGGGCATACACTGTGTGATAGTTCCAAATCACTACTTGAAAGGTGGTTATAAGGCATCCTCATAAAACGAGTGCATGTGAGAATAGCTGTCTAGACGTACTTATGCCACATTGACCACCTGTGTACTTTTCCCAATTAACGTTTAGCATGGAGTTGATGAAGGTTCAAATACCACCACATTCACTTATAGTCATATACATACATACATACTCTCTTGCTTAAGCGCCAATGCAAGCCTTCTAGGAATAATGGCACAGCACTTTGACTAGTATGCTGGAGTGTATCAAGTACACTAACATCCAGAGAAGAAAAGGCGAGGACTGCGCTCCACGTAATGAAAGACTTCTCTGGGCACATTTTGACCAGACATATATCACTCCC